TTGGCTTGATTTTTTCGCTTGAAGCGATCGAACAAAAAAAAAAAAAAAAAACGTGGTAGTAAAGACGTGGATGTAGAGAGAGAAAAAGAGATGACGTCGAAATTTTTTTTTTTTTTTTGTAATTAATGTCGGATGGATTTTTTTTTTTTATCTCGTTACCGACCGGGTAAAATTTGATAAAAAAAAAATGTTTGAAAAATTTTCCCCCTCGAGTGTAAATAAAACCGGAAATGAAATTTTGAAAAAAAAAAAAAACTCCCGGTTTTTCCCTTTTTTTTTCTCTCTTTCTCTTTTTCTCTGGGCTCATCAATACGAAATCAGTCAAGCCTTTAAAAAAATTTTTTTTTTTCAAACGTTGGCTAAATTTTTTTTTTATTTTAGTTAAAAATTTAATGAAAATAAAAATAAAAAATTTCGTTGCCAACGTTCTAAAAAAAAAAAAAAAAAAATAGAAATCGTGAGCTAAGAAAAATATTTTAATGTCGAATAATTTTTTTTTTATTTTAAATTTTTACTTTTTTATCAAAAAAAAAAAAATCGCCTTGACCTTTGACCCATCCTATAACTTTGAAATTCATCATCTTTCGATAATTTTTTTTTTTTACTGATTTTTAATAAAAAATATTTCTTTCTCTTTCTCTCTGTCTGTCTGTATTTTCTTTGTCTTCTCTCATTCTTCTCTCTCTCTCTCTTTCATTTCTTTCTTTCGTGTTCTTTCTCTGTTGTTTTCGTCTCTCTCTTTCTCTTTCTATCCTGATATTTTTTTCTCTCTTTTCTCATTCTGCTATTTCCCTCAGTCTTCCTCTTCTCATCCTGCAATTCTCTCTTTTTCTCTTTATATCCTCTCATCCTACTACTTCTCTCTCTCTCTCTTTTTCTTTTCTCATTTTACTACTTCTCTCTCTCTTTTTCATTTTAATAAACTCAAAAAAAATTTTTTTTCAATTTTTAAATAATTCAATATTTTTAATTTAAAAAAAAAAAATTTTTTTAAATTTAATTTTCACAGATAATTATTATTATTATTATTATTATTATTATTATTATTATTATTATTATTATTATTATTATTTTTATTAAAAATTTTCTTCCACCACGTTCTAGAATATTTAAAATCCTCTTTCATCAAAAAAAAAAAGTTGAGAAAATAATTATTTGTATTTCACACGACGAAAAATTCAAAAAATAATATTTAAAATAAATAAATAAAATTATCGGTTTTATATTATTTTATTAATGACGTCATCAAAATGAGATGATAATAATAATAAATCTGACTCGGATACGTTTTTTTCTTGAGAGGAAAAGGGAGAGGGAGCAAAAATCTCGAAAAATCAAAAATTCAATGTAATAATTAACGGACTAATTTAAAAAAAAAAAAAAAAACTTTTTAATTTTTCGTTCGTGTCACCACGAATCCATTTAATTATCATTATCATCATCATCATTATTATCATTATTGTCCGAACGACGTCCGATAGGATAAGTTTACGGTCCGAAAATGGTATTAAAAAACGTTGAATAATATAAAACCCAAAAAAAATCGGACGAGAAAAAAATTTTATTTATAGATTTAGAACACGCAAACAACTATTTTTAAAAATTACTTTTTTTTTACCGCCTTCTATTCTTCTTCTGCCACTTTTTTTTTTTTATTAAAGTTAATTAATTAATTAATTAAATTACAAATGACTAGTTTTATCAATGTAAATGAAATAGATAAATACGAACAACGGGGTTATAACCACGATAAACTATATAAAATATAATTATTTTTTAATTATTTTAACGAGATTAAACGAGAAACGACCGCGAGTTTATTTCCCTCCCACTCCCTCCCGCTTCCTCCTCACTCTCTCCTCCCCTCCCTTTTTTACCATTTCCGTTTTTTTGTTTCTCCGTTTCCGCCCCCGATCGTGTACACACGACCTTTAACAGTTGTAAAAAAAATTTATGCACGCACATAACTTTAAAAATTTGTTTTACCAAATTATTGTCTTGTTTTTTTTTTATCGTCGTCTTCTGCTGCGATGGTAAACGAGAGAGAGAGAGAGAATATATGCGTGCAAGAGAGAAAGAAAGATGGAAACCATCTGCTCAATTATTATTATTGATTTAAACGCAGAAGGTCACATTTGTTGTTGTCGTTTTTGTTAAAATTCACAAATTAAAAAAAAAAAAATGGAGATTTTCTTTTTAGTTTGTTTCTTTTTTTCTTATATTTAACGATGATCGTGGATAAAATTTTTCGTTTCTTCTGACACGTTAAAAATTATTAAATAAATTAATTAATTAAAAAATCTGCGCAATCTTTTTTTTTTCTTTTCTAAAGGTAAACATTATTATTTTCTTTATTAAAAATTTTATCGATTATTGATTTTTAATTAATGATAATAATAATAATTAAATGTTTGTTACATCACATGATTACTATTATTATGTTTAAAGGAGGAGGGGGAAGGTGTGGGGAAAATCGAAAAAGAAAAAAAAAATTTGTTGATGAAAGTTACGAAGGAGAGATGGAAAAAAAAATTTTCTTTCGTGGAAATTTTTTCGTTTTTTTTTTTTGGGGTAAATTTTTTTAAATTACGCGTGCGTTTTAATAATCACGCGCGTAATTTACGCACGGCGTTTTTTTTTTATTAAATTTCAGAAAATCGTAACTTAAGAAAATTTTCTTATCAAATTACGATGACGCACAACTTTCACACAAACGATTAATTTTTTTCTTTTTATTACGCGCGTACTTTACGAACGTGTTAAAAAAAATAATTACTGCGTACGAGTGCGGAAAAAGTAATCGAGGAGAGAGAGAGAGAGAGATGATAATCGTGATGATGTAAATTAAAAAAAAAAATAAAAATAAAGTGCGAAAATGTTTAAAAACACGACCGGTTTTTTTGATAACTTTCACTGGTAAAAGCGTTGTTTGTCGCAAAATTAAAAAAACCATCGAACGAGGTCGTCAAACGAAAAGGGAAATTTGTCGTAAAAAAAAAAAAAAAACGCGGGATCGTCGTGTCAGAAAATTATTGGAAATTTTCATAGATTTGACCGTTGAACGCGCGAGTTAAAAAAAAATTTTCCAAATTTGATTAAGTCGGGGCAAACATCTTTTATCACCACCGTCCGACATCTTCTCTCTCTTTCTCTCTTTCTCTCTTATCGATAAGTTCCTATTCGTTTAAATATTTATTTAAAAAAAAAAAAATTTTAATTATTATTTGATTTATTATTATTATTATTATTGAGCCTGATAGTTTTTATTATTAATTAAATGTTCCGCGTTTTTACCCGGTTCGAAACCGTCAATCAATTTTTATACAATTAATTAATTATTAACGTGATAATAATAATAATAATAATTTTATTATCATCGTCGTCGTCGTCGGTAAGTTAAAAAAAAAAACGCGGGAAAATTTAAAAAAAAAAAAAATAATAATCGTGATTTTTTTTAAACATTTGTTTCGCGCGTGTGATTTAATACTCTGATAATTTTTCTTTTCCAAAAAAAAAAAAAATGAGTGATAAGCGTTCGTTGCTCTTTTCTCCAGTACGTTAACATTTCGTATTAAATAACAATCAACGCATTTTAAATTTTGATTTCCAAAAAAAAAAATTAAGTAATTTCTTTTTTTTTGGAATGTTTTTTTTTTTTTTTTTACGTAATTTCAAAATTCGTTTCGATTGATAATTTTTTTTAAAAAAAAAAAAACTCATTTTCTATTCGTTTTAAACCATACGATAATTTTTTTTCATTCATTCAATCATTCATTCAATCATTTAATCATTCATCCAATCAATCATTTAATCATTTATTCATTCACTGATTTTATTATTAAAATTTCGGAACGAGAAAATTTTGAAAATTTTCATTTGTGCGGTTTTTTGTTTTCTCATTTCTTTTCTTTACTTTTTTTTATGCTACTTTTTACGGTTTAATTTTTTTTTTATTAATTTTTTTATTATTATTATTATTATCGGAGTAATAATTCTTAAAAATAAAAATAAAATCATTAATAAGTGACGTAACAACGTTAGTAATAAAATTAGTAATTAAAATAATTAAACCAAATCGATTTTTTTTTCATTTTTATAAAATTAAAGATTTCAAAAATTTTTGCTTGAGTTTTTTTTTATTTGAGATCGTTTAAATAATAATAATAATAATAATAATAATAATAATAATAATAATAATAATAATAATAATAATAATAATAATAATAATAATAATAATAATAATAATATTAATAATAATAATGATAATAATGATAATAATAATTTGGATGTATTTTTTTTAGGATTAAAGGGAATGATCTGATGTTCTCAAGCTGGCTCCATCACCAAATACAAGCGCCATGAAGGCGCGTGCAGAATCCGCAACTTCCGATTCAGTTTACGAAGATTTCGATAAGGAATCATCATCATTATCACCATCATCGACATCATCGACGGAAAATTATCAATCGCCGTATTTGAAAAATTCACCGCGAAAAGAAAATTTAACGAACGTTAAAAAACAAATCAACGGTTATGTAAAAAATGGAGGAGGATGGAAATCCGATTATGGGAAATTGAATCAAAATCCTGTCGTAAACGACGGTTTCAATATAGAAGAACAACCGCAACACCAACGACAACACCAACAACCACAACCCTTACATTTCGACACTCAAGAAATTTTAGATGAAACACCCGCCATATTTAAATCATTAAATTCAAATTCATTATCAAGAGGTTCGGATACATTTGTTTATTTATCATCATTGAAACCGATATCGTTGTCTCAAAACGATGATCCATGCAAAACGTTCGTCATATCATCATCATCATCATCACCAACATCACCATCACCATGTGATAAAAACGGTGATTTGGTGGTAAATGGTAAAAATAATAAAATAAATGAAAAAAATATAATATTAAACGGTTATAATAAAACTACAGTAGATGAAAATGAATATCCCTCGTACGTTATCGATAAGAACGAAATCAACGATATGACGACGACGACGACAACAGATGAGGGAAAAAAATTATTTAACGGTAAAAAAAATCACGACGCGAATCCAGACGAAATAGATGGTGTAGTCGTCATAGCGAAAAAACCCGCGACAACATATAAAAAAACAATAGGAAAACCGGAAATAGTTGTAAATAATTATAATTCGAACATCGATATCTGTGATAGTGATGATGTTATCGTTGAAACAAACGGACAAAATAAAACTGATAGTGAAAGTTCGGATTTATCATTCGATAGAACACTAGCAGATAGGAAAGAACAAGCTTTTGCTAAATTACAAGATGAATTAGAAAAAGCTCACATGAAATTAAAATTAAAAGATGAAGAAGTTGCCAGATTGACGAGAATAAGAGAAGATGTCGAAAGAGAACTCGAAGAACTCACCGCGAGTTTATTCCAGGTACTTATTATTGTTATTACGTAATAATTAAAAAAAAGAAAAAACGTGGAAAAATTTTTCCTTCCATCCGTCGATTTGAATTCGTTCAAACCGACGTTTTAACCGTGTGAAAAAGGTATATTAATGATAATAATAATAATAAATTTCGACTCGAAAATATTTACGTATATTATTGAACGTGCCCTTGAATGTATTTTTTTTTTTTTTTATTAAGAAACATAATATTAACCCGATATTTATTGACAAGGTTGCGTAATTTAAATGTCCGACGCCGATTTCAAGTTTTTTTTCTTTTTTTTTCTCTCCAATTAAAATACAATTTTAATTTTTTTTCATACGAAAAAAATTTTTCCATTCCTCTCCCTTCCCCCTTCTCCTCCATTACCACCACCACCACCTTCTTTTTCTTCTCCTCCCCCTTCACAAACATTTAAACATTCGACAAACACAAACCAAGACAAACATGGAGTGTTTAATTATTTTTTTTTAAAATCTTTTCTTCCAGCTTTCGACGACGCATGAAGTCAACATTATTATTATTATTATTTATCGCGAATACGTTAATTAATTATTATTATTATTATTATTATTGTTAACTACTACTCGTTCGTCACGTGGTTTGTTTCGTCATTAACGATTTTAAAGCAAGATTTTAAAATAATCAACGAGTGAAATTTGTTTGACGCGGGATGGGGGGTAAATGCGCGTATCGAGTTACTGTAAACGGGTAATAAAACTCCAGAATTTTAAAAGAAAACATTACGAAAAAATGTTTTCGACAAGAAAGAACCCGAAAACATAAATAAAAACAAAAACATTAAGTCATGTTGTGTTGGTAAAAAAAAAAAGAGAAAAAAATTTTCGATTGTTTTTAGCGTTTTTAAAAATTATTATTATTATTGTTAATTTTATTATTATTATTATTATTATGATCGTTTAATTGATTTTATAAATTAATTAACGAATTAATAAAAAAACAAAAAAAACATATTATGTTTTTGAAACATCATAACAAAATCATAAAACAATAATAAATAATTTTTTGTTTAATTTCGAGTAAACGCGATACGTTTACCAATAACATTTACACGAGTCGGATTCCCGCGTTTTTTTCAAAATAAAAAATTATGACGTCATTAAAAAACGAAACACCGAAAACAGAAGAGGGAAGGAAAAAAAAAATTGTTCGAATTTTCGTTCGAATTAATAACGTTCGACGAGTTTTAACATTTGCCTATAATATTAATTAGTTATGAATGACGTGATATTTACACGTGACGGAATGCAAAAAATTTCGTCCTCGTGCTAGTTACACGTTAAAAAAAAAAAAAAAAACAGTTTATGCAAAAACTCGCATACACGTTTTTTCTTTTTGTCGGTTTTACTTTTTTGAAATCTATTTACACGTTCATCTTACGACCCGACTCTTTTATTGCATTTAAAAAATTTCATCTTTCAACGAAATGTGTCGACTTTTAAAAAAATTAATAAAAATTTTTTAATTATAATAAAAATCGTTTATATGAAATCGATTAATCCATTTTCTCCCGAGGGAACAGAGAAAGAGAGAGAGAGAGATGGAAAAACCGTTAGGAATATTTATTAAAATTTAATAAGAACGTCAATGAAATTAAATATAAATTTTTCGGTTAATGAAAACGTGAATCAGATTTTTCTCAACGACGAATTTCTTTCCGAGAGTATGTCTCCTCTTTCCCCATCGCCTCCCCTTACCACCCCCCCCGTTTAAAATCCAGAAATGAAAAGAAAAATTTTCACTGGAAAAAATTTAAATGATTCACTTGTTGTTTAAGAAAAAAAAAAAAAAAAAACTCGTTTATCCAGAAATATCCGCCAACTACTTTTTCTTTATTTATTAATTTTATTTTTTCCGCGAAAAATTATTAAAAAACGCGTATTTCAATAATGATAATAATAATAATAATAATAAGGTATTTACGTCACGCACACAGTAATTATTTTAAATGTTATATGTCACACGAGGGGGAGCAGGGGGCGGAGAGAAAAGAAAAAAAGAAAAAAAACTTGTATGGTTAAAAGTCATGTAATCACGTGATTAAAAAGAATTTTTTTCTTGTAGGAAGCACACAAAATGGTGAGCAAAGCCAAAGAAAAACAAGCAGCAGCGGAAAAAAGTTTAATGGAAAGTCAAATGAAAGTCGATGTGCTCACGGCGGAAGTTGTTGCATTGAAAACTTTGGTTCTAACATCGACTCCGAGTCGTCCAAATCCTCACCTGCATCCTCAGATAGGAAAAGAAGAAAATAACGGAGGTACAGGTTGGGAAAAAGAGGCGGAAATCTAGTTTCCGGTTTAAGAAAAAAATTTTTTTAACTTATTTCCTGCGGTTTTCAGGTGTCAATCTTTTCAACCGGAAACACAGGAGATCACCATCACATTATAATTTAAAATACGGACGAGAAAATTCACCACCGGATAGTCCGATACATGATAAAAACATGGCGAATAATGCCAACAACGCCGTGCCTCCTCAAACTTTAGAAAATCGTGATATATCCGAGGTTAATGATCTCTCTTATCGATAATAATAATCATTTTATTAAGTTTTTATTTAAAAAAAATTTGTCTTACTTTTCCAGGTGGATCCGACAGTTCACAAAGAATTTCTCAACTGGAGTTTAAATTGCAAACTGGATAAAACTGATCCATTTATCGATCGGATTTACAGAGAGGATATAAATTTATGTTTAGATTTTAGTAACAGAGAATTAGCAGAACAAGTTCAAAAAGCCATCGAAACGAGAAATATTTACATAGAAGCACTTAATGATAAATCCAAAACAATATTTCCAAGGTTTTATTACTTATAACTCGTGACTTTTTACGCCGCGTAATTTTTTTTAAATTAATAATTAATATCATTATTATTATTTTAGAAAATGCGCTTTGTTGGAAGTTACGAGACAGTGTCATTATAGAATGAAATTGGGAGATGAAGATACGTGGTATAACATATCGCAAATGTGTAGAAATCGGGTGAGTTGAAGTTAAAAAACGCGCGTTCCAGCGTAGTTCCAGCGGCATCTGGAAAAATTTTTATGAATTTTCACTTAACAACTACATCGTCATCTTTGATTATCATCTTCTTATACGTATTTTAAAAAAAAAAAAAAAGAAGAAAAATGACGTCGACGATTTATCATTACTACTTTCTTTCTGGAGAATAAAAAAAAAAAATCTGGAACTCTAGTAATAATGATAATAATGATAATAATTAAAAACGATGAGAGTTTTTCGCTCTCACTCTCTTTCTCGTTTTATTCATTTTATAAACAATTGAAATTTTTTTTTTTTTTTTTTAATTTTTCATTACTGTTATTATTATTATTATTATTATTATTATTACAAGAGTTCCAGTTTTTTTTTTTAATAAATATTTTCTTCAGAGGATAAAACTGGATTTTTTTTTCTTTTCCAGATCATTGCCGTTTGCGATTTTATTAATTATCTTCGATACATCGAATTAGGACTCGTTAAAAGTTCAGGTAAAAAAAAAAAAATTTTTCTCCAGTTTCAAAAATGATAATGATAATAATGATAATAACTTTTGTTTTAAAATTCCAGCTCACGATATGTATTGGGAAATTATGAGATTGAAAAAAGAAATGGTTTTATCAAGATTGGGTTTATCGTTGCCATCGTGTTAAAAAAAACGTGCCAAAAAAATTTTTTTTTTTTTTTTTTCACGGACAAAACCGGAAAAAGTCATTTTAATAATTAAATAATTAATAAATAATAGTTAATAATTAATAATTAATAATAATAATAATATTAATAATAATAATCATGAAGAAAAAAATGAAAATAATTTTTTTTTTAGCGAGTTTTAAATTATTTTTTCGTATTTTTTAATCGTTATTGTTTTTACTATTATTATTATTATTATCAACGTAATGAAAATTTTTTTTTTTTGTTTTCGGCGTAGATATATATATATATAAATGAAATTTGTTAAACGATTTTCAATTCGATTAATCGAATTATCGATATATAAATAAATAAATAAATAAATATTTAAAAAAAAAAAAAAGTTTTTCGTTAATTATGAGGAAAATTTTTCCTAAACGGATGTAGGAGGCATCGAAACAAGATATAGGAGGCTTTGATTCGTTTTATTAAAAATGGCGGCGGTTCGATGACGTCACATTAGTAAACACACGGACACGGACACGGACGGAAGTAGTGGACGGATTAATTAATTAAAACGATGATTTTTCATCGTTTTATCGAAACGTATTATTAAATTTTCCTTTTTTTTTTTTCTTTTTTTTTTCGTTTATTTTTTTATCGAACGAAATTATTATTATTATTAAATTTCTTCCATTTTTTTTTTTCGTTTTGTTTTTCATTTTGCTTTGTTTTGATTTTTAATTTAAAAAATGACGACGGATTTTTACGATTCATTAGAAGATTTAACGAGTAATAAATTTTTTTCAACGGATTATATAAATTACCCTTATATTAATCCCGATCCATTAATCGATAATAATAATGATAATGATATTGATAATGATTTGAATAAGTGTCAAGATGAATATAACGATTATTATGGCGACGAAAGTTCTCCGGATTCATATGCTTGTAATAATGATTGTGAAAAACTTTCGGAAAAATCAATGGATTGTTTTTTACCTAAAATCGAAAAAAAAGACGGTTTGCAGTTAATGATAATAATAATGATGATAATGATAACGTTCACGTGATTATTTATTTATTTTTTTTTTGTTTTTTTTTAAGGATTGAATGAGCAAAACAATTATAAATACTTTAATTTCGTCGTGAACGAAGAAACGTTAAAGAATCAAGGTTTGATATTAAACAAAGATGGAAGTTTTACAAAATCGCCAAGAGAAGAAGAAGAAGAAGGAGGAGAAGGTGAAGGAGGTGGAGAAGAAGAAGAAGAAGAAGAAGAAGAAGAAAAATTACCATTCGTAACGAGAGAATATAGAAATTTACTTTTTCAAAAGAAAAGAATATATAAAGATACGACGGCATTCAGACAACAAACAATAAGAAACGCGAATAAAAATAAATCGTTTGTATCATCGTCGACGGTGTCGCCATCATTAGTCAAAAATGACGATAAGAAAAAAATTAAAAAAGAAAATCAATTCCTCGAATCGTGTTTTGATAAATATTTAGAAGAAGGATCGAATTATAAAAAAAATACAAATCGTACTAATAGTAATAATAATTTAACGGATGCTATGAAAAGAATACTTTTGGAAAAACATAAAGAAAATTCGGAAAGGAAATATTTATTGAATAATTTAACCGGAAGTAGTACGAATAGTTTGACGAGTCGTAAAACGACGGATTCGATAAAATTACCCAAAGTAATTGAAAATAAAAAAACAATAAATAAAAGTTTTAGTAACAAACTACAAACGAGTGAAAAAAATTATAAAATAAATCCCGTGAAAGTAAACGTCGATACATCGAAATCGATAAATCGATATAAATCCGATATTTCTGTATATTCGACGAAAAATAATAATTTAACGTATTTTGAAAAACATTTAAAAGAAACCGGATATAATCCTTTATTTTTAAGATACGATTATAAAAAATGTTTGTCGGATACAAACAGATCAAATTTTGGCGATTCCAATCTCGGTGATTTACCGGAAATATCGAACAGAACTTTTCCAACATCGTCATCGAAATATGGCGGCGACGACGACGACGTCGACGATAAAAAAAAAAAAGAAGAAGAAGAAGAAGAAATTTTTTATCGTAAATTTATCGAAAACGATATGAAAAATATTAATAAAAAAATAAAACGGGAAAATTTATCGGAACACGATTTCAAATTTGGAAAATTTAGTTACACGTCAAGAAAATCATTGGATTCGAATAGAAGTCTTACGACCGAGGTGAGAGAGATTTTTCTTTTTTATTTTATCCGGAAAATTTTCTTTTTAACTATGAAGCACGTATATTTATATTTTATCAGTTGAAAAGTGCTAAAATAACAGTTTCCGATAGCAAAAGCAACTTGAAAATAATCGGAATAGGAAATTCACCACATCAAGGTAAAAAAATGATGACGACTTCCGTTGAACGTTCATCGAGGAAAAGTCCTTCGCATTTGTGTACGAATTCGACGACGAGTTTAACGAAGGTGACGTAATACACTCACCCCATTTTATTAGTGCCACGATAAAATTTTGATTTTTTTGGTTCTCGTGTAAAACAGGCTGAATTGGCATCGAGAGCAAAAGCTTACGGTTCAATGGCGAACGCTAGAAACGTTTTTAAATTTAAAAACCGTTCGTCGAACGAAAATAATAAAATGGAAAAAAAAAAATTAAACGATGGAAAATCTTCGACCGGTATAAGAACCGCGACGAGAAATTTAAAATCGAGATCCTACATTTTAATAAAGGGAAATGATGAGAACGACGACGACGGCGACGAGGAGGATTTCGGTAACCGGAAACGGGAAAAGGCAACACCGAATAAAAATTATTATTTACCGCTTTTAAATTTCACATCGGAAAATGATTTGACGACAGCATTATTAAAACGGAAAAATTTTTACTGTCGTACGAAAAATTCTTAATTTTAATTATTTTTTCTTTTTTTTTCTTTTCGAAAAAAAAAAAAAAATTTCTAATTTATTTTTCTTCCTCCCCTCTCTCCCTCTCGCCCTCTCTCCTCCCCTCCTCCCCTTCCTCCTCCCTTCTTCCCTCCTTCCCTCTTACCCCCTCCCCCCATTTTTTTTTTTTAGCCTTTTATCGAAAATTTTGGTTCTTATCAGGGAAAAAAATTTACGAAGAATTTATTACTACGTGTCAACAAATTCTAGCGATGATAGTAATATTAAAAAACAAAAAAATGATCGTCAAAATGAATGAAAAAAAAATTCAAGAATTAATTCTGGAATGAATGAGAGAATTAATCCGGAAATGGAAATGGAAAAGTCTTCAAAATGGGTAAGTCAAAAAAAAGAATTTACGTAATTTTTTTTTTCCCCAATAACTTTTAATCAAAATATTTTTTTTTGGAGGGGGATGGGGAGGGGAAAGGAGGGGAGGGGAGGAGGGCGGGGCGGGGGAGAGTTTTTGGAAAACTTTCAAAATTTATTAAGGTTTTCTCCCTTCCCCCTCCCCCCGTTTTTAAAACATAAATTTTTATTTATTAAGCCACATGTTTTGTGTTATTTAAAAAAAAAAACGTTGCTTCACGAATTTTTCTATTAATAAATAATCGTTTGTCAATTACATTACCTTTTAATATTTTCTTCTGCTGCCACTTTTGCTGCTGCTGCTGATGCTGTTGATGATGATTATATAACCTTGACATATATATATATAAAAATTTTTTTTTTTTTATTGTTATTACTCATGGAAAGTTTTTTTGTACGTGATCGGAGAGATTTCACAAATGTTAATTCCAGGTTTATTCCCGTTTTATCCTTAGGAATAATTAATGTGTGATCTGTACCATCGCATTCATCTTTCCGATTCCCTTTTAGTGATTGTGGAACAATCATACCAGCTCCCTTTTCGAATCCTGAATGTCTACTTCTCCAAATTCCCATATTTCGTTTCCTTTGTTACATTTCATTTCCGTTTTTCCGACTTTTGCCGACGGTATATATACTTTAAATATGATATCCGGTTCTTTGAATGACGCACTTCCGTCGCGACTTACATATTTCGTTACTCAAATTCAGAAAATTTTTTTTTAAATAAATAAATAATTTCTTTCTTATATAATTAAATAAAAATTATTTATTATTATTATTATTATTATACAATTCGTACAAATAAAATTTATCCTTTCGTATAAAATTATAAAAAAAAAAACAAATACACTCTATCATCATCATTATCATCATCATCATCATCATCATCAACAACAAAAACAAAATTTATATATAATTGTACTCTACGTAATAAAAAAAAAATTTTTTTTTTGGTATTTTTATAATATTTTAATACTTTTTACAATTTTTTATCATTATCATTATTATTATTATCATCATCATCAATTTTTTGGCACGAATGAAAGCCGTATGAATAGTAAAGTGCATGATAACGTTAAATAAACAGAGAGAAAGAGAGAGAGAGTGAGAGAGAAAATCGTTTTAAATTAAAACGCCCTTATTTTTTTTTTTGTTGCCATTATAAACAATGGATAAGTGATTTACGTCATCGATTTGATTCGAGTACGAATAAATTTGAGACGTGTAATGACGTCATTGATTTAAAAAAAAAAAAATTTAATTTTTTGAAGAGTTTAAATTTAAACAAACTTTTATTCCCATTTATTATTATTATTTTTTTACCTAATAAGTCGAAGAACATCATGCCAAATTTTAATAAATAATAATAATAATAAATCATGTTGATAAATTGTCATAATTAATGATGACGTATGTCCGGTTTGATAAAAAAAAAAAATGACGTTTCGTAATTACATATTGCGTTATTCTGATATCGAATTCAAACGATTATGCGAATTTTGTTTTTAAAAAGGAACCATGTTTTTTTTTTTTTTTTTTTTTTTTCAAAAGTTGGTAATGAAAAATTTATTCGTAAATGGATTTTTAAATAGTTTTTCAGTTGATTGCCAAACGCTTTATAAAAATTATTATTATTATTATTATTATTATTGAGAGATCATGCGTTCGTATTTGGGAATACGTTGTGTGTGTGCTCGCTAAGTCGTAGAAGATTCCGCCGTTCGGTTTGTCATTTCTTGATTAACGTTCGTACTCTTGCCAAGTTCAGTCAAAAGTTGAACGGTTTGAGATTTTAAACTTAGGGAAAAATTATTCGTGTAAAATGATTTTGTACAACCGGAATCGGGAGAAAGACATTGAAAAATTTTACGAATTTCTTTTTTGATTTGTCTGTTTCTAAAAGCGAACAAAAATGGCGACAGAACGGTAGACGTCAATAATAAAACGATCGAAAATGTATCGAGGTAGTATGGGAAATGTAAAAATCTACGATAACACAAATCGGAATATATTGAAAAGACGAGGAAAACCGGAAGCCAACAGAACAAAGCCATGACTATGACCATGGCGGATATTCTAGCGGCTCTCGCTTCTTCCCTGTAACGAAAAAGGCTCGCGTTCGATATTCTATGCCTTATGTTATGTACTATGTAGCTAGATGTTGATTTTATGCTCGATGCTCTGCTTGGCGGTTGTCTAACGGCTGTTGATGAATATATCGAGGATGAACGACTAGATTGACATTGAGTTGAGGATGCTGTCGTGGATCTAGTGCTGAAAGACGAACGATTATTTTGTATTTCGTAAAAATTAGATTGTACCGACGGTGATCTACCCTTCGTTATGTTTTCGAATTCTGGATCGACCGTTGTTAAAAGAATGTTCGAATGTCTCCTTCCGGTTTGATTCGTATCCGTCATTTTTTCAGTGGAATTAGAAAATTGAATGTGTAACGACGATAATTTTGTAAATGACGTATTGTTTTTCAAAGTCGGTTTTAATAAAGGCACTTCACTTTCTATTGTCACTTTAACGTTATCATTAACCTTATCATAATTTGCTTTTATATCGTTTTTTTCAACGAATCCGGATTCATCGGTTTTATTTAACGGTTTCGGCGGACTCGGTCTCGTGACGACAAACGACGGTTGTAACGACGAACAATCGCTCGAATCGGGTAAATAAAAATCCGTTGAATTTCTTTGTTTCTGCCACGATTCGCGAGAACACGTTTTTTTACTCTTATTATCGTTGCTCTCGTTTAAATTTTCAATTTTTTTACTTATTATTTGTGCGTCGTCGTTGTTGTTGTTCAATACGCCAGTTCTCGCTCTTTTACTATTTCCCGAAGCTGCCACGCATATGCTGTAGTAAATGTAACATATAAATCCGAAGGGTATTAGAAATGCTGTCGTGGCATAAGTAACGCAAAATATTATCCTATAAACGTTTGGACCATCTGTCGTTTCTTCGTTATCGTCACCGCTTGAAGAATTTTTCGAATCTTCCGTCATTTTCAAATCTAAAAAAAAAATTTCTGTAAATATAATAATAATAATAATTTAACAAATAAATATTAATAATGATAATTACTTTTGGATTCGGTTGTCGAATCGCATTTATCAAAATTGATTTTTTGAAAAAATCCAAAATCTGGTTGTACGGAACCGAGAAGTGCCAAACTCGCAGAAAATCCCCACGTGGCAAAAATCATTAGATATCCTTTCCAAGTGCTTATTATGCAATGATAATGCAACGGATTAACGACAGCAAAATATTGATCTATTGCGATCAATAATACGGAATAAACGATTGCTGTCGAACAAAATATCGATAGGAATTGTTCGGCGAAACATAAATAATTATTTACCGTCGACAAACCGTTGTCGGCAAACGTTATAGGGAGCAATGAAAGGCAGGACACCATGTTAATTATCATTAGATTAATTACGAATCTGCAAAAAAAAAATTTGCTGTAATTTGTTGAGGGGTACGACGCGACTCTCGTTCAATTTAAAAAAATAAAATTTACCTGTTTGCTGTTGTTCTTAATCCTGGCTTCCGGTAGAAAACAAACAAAGCGAGTACGTTTGTAGACAAACCCAAAAAAAAAATTATTATTAATGTAAAATTCCAAAATAAAAAAATTGAATTTTTTAACAATAATTGATTTTTATCCTCTTCCGACTCCATTCCCGATTGAAAAAAATTTTTTTTTTATTTATTATTAATAATCTTCTTCCACGATTATCCATAACCACGTTTATTATTACATATTTTCATTCGCGGAAATCCAACTGGAAAAATCAAACAAACAAACGAATAATAATAATAATAACGTACAATTAATCGAACACACACACACACACAAAAAAAAATACCTGGAACGTATAAAACCCGTCACTTCTTTAATTATTAACAAATAATAATAATAATAATAACGACACAACGCTATAAAAAATAATTAATAATAATAATAATGATGATGATGATGATGATGATGATGATCTTTAATAAGAAAAAAAAAAACCGTTTATCGAACTCGATCGAATTTTTTTTTTTTTTTTTGATTAATTGATCGATCGATTGACTTTTATTCCCCCTTAAAAAAGGCCTCGTCGAACGGATCTGTCTAAATTTTGATTTATTTCAATTTTTAATTATTATTATTATTATTATTATTATTATTATTAATTTTATTTATTTATATTTTGTTGACCCGACGCAATATTTAAAAAAAAAAAACAAAAAATTTTATTGTTTTTAAACATTAAATGTCAAAAAAGTCGTTAAAAACATCGAAAAAACAAAAACAATTAATATTGTTTAAATTAAAAAAAAAAAATTGTTTTAAAAACACAAATAATAATGATGATGATGATGATGATGATGATGATAATGTGGAAAACGATGTGACCAATAGCAGAAGAGAAAAAAAGAAAAAAAAAATTTTTAATGTAAAAAAAACATTTAAAATATATTTCAAAAAAACAAAATTTCTTAACGAAATAATAATTTTTTCCGTTGTGATAATAATAATAATCACTGGAGAAAACTGGAGGAAAAGTTCTCAAGAAACTCAAACTTTTAAAATCCTAAACAAAAAAAAATGTCGGAAAAATTTGTTTAAAAAAAAAAAAACGTTTAAACGTTCCGATTAATATTGTCATTGATATCAACTTTTTTAGAAAAAAATTAAATTAAACTAAAATGACGTCATCGTTTGTATGACGTATATAAAAAATAATTTATATTAAATAAATCGTCGATCCATCGATCGATCGATCGATTAATCGATTTATTCTGACGTATTTAAAAAAATTTTTCAAATTTCCTTGAATTTTTTTCCAATTGAAATTTTAAAACTACGATTGTAATAATTTTTTTTATACGTTTCATAGCGAAGGGGGGTGGCGATTATAATAATGATAATAATAATAATATTTATCTTTTTTTTTGGTCGAATTCTATAATTTTTCCGACAGCAGACAAATTTCAATTTCAAGGCGCGCGAGAGAGACGAATAAAAAAAAAAAAAACAACAAGAATAGAATTTCGGCCTTTGTTTTAAATAAACTCCATATTATTATTATCATTATCATTATTATTATTATTGTTGAAATTCGTTATGAAATATCATCATCTCGAACACACACACAAATATTAATTGTTTTTGTTATTTTGGCATTACAGAAAATTTTTTTAATTTTTATTATTTTGGCAACACTAAAAACAATAAAAACAAAAAAAAAATTTTTATTTATTTTTTCAGTCGAGTTATTTTTTTTCATCGTAAGTTAAACATAACGTATATCGATTTGTAGTTATTATTATTATTATTATCGGTAATTAATAATTAATTTAATGGTGTTAAAATATTATTATTATTATTTGTAAAATATTTATCCACGTGGTGTTAAAAATTTAAGCAACCGATTATCATAATAATAACAAAAGGAAAAGAAATCGGAGAATGAATTCGGATGAATGAACGAATGAATGAATGAATGAGCGAAAGGAAAATTTTTGTTTTGATTATTATTTAAATATAAAAGAAAGAAAAAAAAATTTTGACAAATATTCGTGTCGGAAAAGCAGAAAAGAAAACGTTCGAATGAAATCACGAAAGAAAATTTTTTTTTTTTTATTTATTTTGCTTATCGAAATGTTTTTTTTTTTAAAATTGTTTTCTCTCCCTTTTCGTTTGTTTGTTTGAAAAAAAAAAAAATTTATGATTTTTTTCTGCTGTCGTTAACAACATCGTAAGGACGATAAAATGACACGAACGTCCGAACGTCCGTTAACAAAAAAAAAAAAAAAATGATGAGATCGAACACACACATACGCACGTTATGCAATTTTTTTTTTTTTCGTTGTCCAGCCATTACGAACGTGAACGACGATGACGAATTAAAACAAAAAAAAATACTAATAAATATATATAAAAACAATTTACGATCGGGATTTTATTTTTCATTTTTTATTCACGTTCGAATAAGAAAAAAAAGAAAAATGGACGATGCCAATTTTCATTTATCAAAAGATTTATATATTTTTTTTTTTTATATTTAAATATTTTATGTAATAAAAATTAAATGCGTGTGCGTGTATGCACATACGCATGCGCGTGTACGCGCATACGCACACTCGCGCATTTTATTTATAAATATATTCCGCGACCGTGAAATTTAAATATATATAAAAAAAATTTTTTTTTAATAAATGATTTTGCAAATATTCAAATTTAAAAAAAAATGGCGTCCTCCCAATTTAAAATAAAATCGATAGATCGATCGATCCATCGATTCATCGATCCATTCGTATAATAAATAATTTTCTTTTTTTTAAATAAATTATCAATCGAAAATCTTATGCTTACTCGATATTTTGTTTAGGAATCGAAAAAAAAAATTTAAAGAGGTCAAAGGTTAAAAAAAAAATGATTTTTAAGATTCGAAATAAAAAGTGTGTTAAACATCAATCGATTATTTATTATTATTATTATTTTCGACGTGGGAAATTTTTAATCGTCGTATCGTAAAATCAAAATGGCGGCGGAAATGAAAAACAGATCTGGTAAATTAGTTTTTTTAGTAGTTTTATTTAGTTTATTAAAAGGCGTATAATAAATAGGTAGGTAGGTAGGTAGGTTGGTGGTAGGTAGGTACTTTACGCGAGATGATGATGATGATGATGATAATGATAATGATTTTATACTAAATTTGTTTTTTTTTTTTTTAATAAATTCTCCGAAGGTGTGATGACGACTTCATTTTTTTTTTTTTTTTAATTTTCCGCGTGTGTTTGTGTGCGCGTGCGTGTTTGTACCGAAACAACATAATCACGTATTGATAATAAATAAATATTAAATAAAATTTAAATAATGAACGAATTTAAACGATGACGTCATTATCAATTTACGCAAAATGAGGTAAAACGATGATTTTTCTTTTTTTTTTTTTTTCGTTAAAAGCGTTAATTTCCTTTTTTTTTTTTTTTCCTTTTCCGTTTCCGTTATCGAAAAAAAATAAAAAAAAATTCCGGTAATCGTTGATGACGTCATAAAATTAAACATTTCCAGAAATTTTTTTTTTTTCGGAGTCTATTAATCTACCTACACTTTTTGTTTTTTTTTTTATTAATTAAAAAATTATACGAAACGTAAAATTACACGTTGAAAATCGTTTTTTTTTTTGTCGACAAATCGTAAAAAAAATTACGTGTAAATAATTTTTACAACTAATTACACGACAAAGTTAAAAAAAATAATAATAATAATAATTATGATTTTTAATTTTTGGAATCGTTTTTTATTCGTTGTTTCTCATGGTGGAGTTCTCAGTGAAAAATTTTCCATGCACACTTTATTTAATTTTTCGTTAATGACACGACAAATATTTGATATTTTTGTAATTTTGAAATTTTATAAGGAATAAAAGAATCGTCGTCGTCTAAGTGGCATTTAAAAAAAAAAAAAATTAATTCTACTTAAGGTTACGTGCATGCGTTGCAATTATTTACTGCCACGTCAATTTTATACGTTTTAAATTTTTTTTTTTTTAAATTTTTCAAGCGTTCCATTGATTCAAACGTTCCGTATAATAATATTCGCAACAAACAAAAATTTTAAATAGTAAAAATTTGGTTGTTGTGTTCGTAAGAGTCGTGTCATCAAAACAACCGAAAACAAGATGGCGATGGTCTCTTACAAACGGTTTATTTTACGAATATTATCATTTTTGAAAAGGTAATAAATTAAATTTATAAATGTAACTGACAGTATTTTGATTATTAGACGACTAAATAATTCTTTTTATTTATGTCAACAACAACAACAACAATAGCAGACGACGAAAAATTAAAAAAAAGCGATTATTGCACTCGAAAAAAAAAAATTATTACGTAATAAAAAATTCGAATCAGGTGATTTAACTTAAATCAATTAAATAATTAAAATTAATTTTTTTAATTGTATCGTAATTTTATAATTATTGACACGTTTAAATTAAATTTTTTTGTTGTTTGTCGTTTGTTTTGTTAAGAAACGGTCAACGATCTCTTTTCCGACAAGAAAATTATAATTTTTTACGATTGTTGAATGATTTGTACAAAAAAAAAAAAAATCGTTTTTTGTGTTTTAATTTAAAAAAAAAATTCTAATCCCACTTAAGAGAAAATTAATTCCACGTCTTTTTTTTCTTCTCTTCTCTTTGTTATGGTTCACTTAGGGGGGTGTGGGGGGGTGGGTTCGTTCGATGTAATTGTTTTGTTTGTTTTTTTTAAAGGTATCATCGAGTCTTTAACGTGTAGAGGTTTTTGCAACAACAAAAAAAAAGTTTTCGTGCCAATAGAATCGAAAAAAAAAAAAAAACTTTTGGCCAAATATATATAAACAATATCGTTATGGCTAATTAACAAACGATGGCC